ATTATGGCGCAAGGGTAATTACCTCTTAGAGATTTGGCATGTTTCCTCAAGTAGTTGACTTTCACTTCATCTTTTTCAGTTGCTAGAAGAACTGTTTCCACTCTAGTCGTGTCTCTATTAGTAAAAAAATCGAGTAGGTCGGCCTTTTCGTTATCATCAAAAGGAAGGTTGTTAATTTCTTTAAAAATAGTTGACATTTTTTTTTATTTGTGGGTTTATTAAAAAGAAGTAATCGATAAGAATTTTTTAAAAAAAAAAGAAAAAACGATTTTCTGGAGAGATTTATATATTGTTTAAAATTAACTTTTATTAAGTTATAAGCTATATTAACGCGTCTTAAACCTGATTAATCTGATTAAACTTTGATTAAACTTCTATTATGAAAACGCGTTTTGTAAGTTCGAAGTATGAAGTTCTTTATACTGATCTTACTGATATATAAAAATGATTATAAAATTCGAGATGATATGACAATTTTTTTTACATAATTAAAAATATAATAAATCCGATATGCGAAACTTTATTAATTTTTTTTAGAGAAATGCTATGAAATAAATGATGCTATCAAAGAGGGAGGGAGTACGCGGATCCTATGCCATTTAATGCGAGTCCCAGCATCAAGTTATTTCTTTGCTCTCCCTATAACTAATTTGTTTCTATCGCTAATATCGCTATCTATAAGTTTCTTACACTCTAACCTATCACAACTATACATATAATGTTTTCTCATATCCATATCACTCTTTTCACTCCCACCCACATAGATCATGACTATAAAAGTGTTACTATCAAAAGTAGTGGTCAGCATGACGAAGTTCTTACTTTGAAATGTGATAATGTGTAACTTCATTGTAAATTTTTATTATTGAGAAACTATGAACATAATAAATTCATATGTGCTAATTTGCGAAACAAAGATTTAGTACCTTATTTTAACTTTTATTTTTTATATTAAACAATTTATATTTTGGATTTAATAAATTTAATAACATAAATGTGTATTATTAAAATTAAAGCCATATTTTAATTTACACTTTTTTATAACTACTCGAAAAATTTGCTTTGCTTAAATATATCAAATGTTTGATTGGTCCGTTTTCAGCTGATACCTATTTTTGGATCATCCAAATCATGCTTGACTCATGTGAAAATGAAAAGAATTTCTTGTTACAAAAAATTTTTTTTTTTTTAATTCTGTCGCGAAATGATAAAATTTATCACCTGGACTTATCTTTTCATCTCTCTTATGAAGAGATTGATTCGATATTGTTTTGCAGCTTTAGGTTTTTTTATTGTTTTTTTTTTTTTTTTCGCGCCATTATTTTTTCAATGGAGAAAATTTATTATTATTATTTTTTTCTTTTTGATAAATGCAGCCAATTTAAACTGTTCTGAGAAAATTGTTCTCGATTTTTAATTTTCGAACAAGTTTTTTATTAAAAAAAAAATTAAAGTTTACGAAAAGGAAACGGACACATTGTGAAATTCATGACATTCGCTTGGACCATATCAATCGATCAATGCAATTGACGTGATACAGACCCTTTTTATCAATAACTTAGGGAAAATAAAGTTCATCCGGAACTTCGGCATATTCCTTCTAAATGACGTTAAAGGGATGAACAAAGATTTCGAAATAAGATAACAATATATTGAAACACAAAATAGGCTGAAAACTATTCAAATGTAACAATTAACTAACAAAATAGGATGTTTTCTTTATGAAACAACAATATAAAATTGTAATAATCAAAGGTGATCAATTCCAAAATTGTAAAATGTAATATATTATAATTATATATAAAAAAATTTTTTTTCATTTAAATGAGTTTCATGAATAAAAAGGTAAAATTCCCAAAATTTCTCCTTTTTTTTTTTGCGAATTTTTGTTCATTTTTCAATTGAAATTTTTTTTTTATTTTCTTTTATATATATATAAATATATATATTAAAAATCTCTTGATTCCTTTAAAGATAAACAATGGATTACCTTGGAAAAAAATCCGGAAATAAAAATACTGAACCAGAGATTAATCCTCAAAAACCGATAAAAAAAACTTCGTTAATATTAGATGCTGCGGGATTTGCATTTAATCAACCGAAATTCAATAATCCAGGAATAAAATCTTTTTCAGATATTTTACATAACACAAAAACAAAACCAAACAACCAAACAATTGATGAAGGAAGTGATAGTTCCGATGATGATAATGATGATGACGAATCCGTCGGAAGTGACTCATCTTCCACAACAAGGGTAGAACAAGTTAAACCAAAAGTTGTACACCAGAACAAAAATGTAAATGATATTCAAACAAATAAAAAGCCACAGGCAAAAGTTTCAGCTTCGAATATTATTACGGATTTTAATAAATTTGAATTTGACTCTGGATTAAGAAAATTAGGTGGTAGAGCAGCAAACGTTCAGTCCGATATTTCTCCTAGAAACGTAAAATCAAATTCAAACACTGAAAAAACTGTTAAATCCGATTTTGTAAGTGGACCAACCGCTAATCCTTCAAGGATTAAATCTACCCAAATGATGCCGGTTGAAGAACCAAACTATAATCGTTCAGATATTTGTTCGGATGTTTCCTGGGGTAGTGATCCAGGCCAACAACATCAATATCAACAGCAACAACCCCACCACCAACAACATCAACAAGCGACTAGTCCAACTGTAAAAGTCAATCCTAATTTTATTATAGGAAATCAAAGTTTTCAACCAAATTATGCTACCCGTTTTAATAATATACCTCATAAAAATGAATGGGGCACAAAATCACCGGACTCTCGTTCCGAAATTATGTATAATGGAAAAGATAAATTAGTTTCTTCTAGGCATAATAATGTGGCTAGAAATCCAAGATTTAATCCAAATTTTCCTTCCGGGACTCCAAAAACCATGTCAGATGTAACTTATCAACCTAAAGAATTAAGAAACCATTACAATGATCCTGAAAGTTTTTCTTACGGTGGAAATTCTCATCAACGTAAACCAACTGTTTCAGCAACTGCTCGTATTCCTTATTCAATTGATGAAAACGAACACAACCCCACTTATGTTAGAGAGACAAATGTACAACATAAGCCAAAAGTAGTTGTTGGACCACAAAAGAGAGTTGTACTCTCTCATTTTGACGAAGAAGAAGAGGATCAAGTAGAATCCGATGATAACGATACGGTACAAAATGCGGAAGAAGAAAATGATGAAGAGATTGATGAATTAATTAATATGACTGAGGATGAAAGCATTCAAAGAAAGGTGATTAATAATCAATAATATTTTTTCGTTAATATGTTTTTAAATATATATATTCAATATTTGTATTTTATTTTTTTAGCTGCTTGAACTTCATTATTCTAATCTAGAACTTCTCAACATAAACAAATCGCTTGAGGAAAATATCAACGAACAATCAATTGAAATTGAAAGTTTTCCCTCCTTTGATTCATTGTTAAAATCTCAGAAAGAACAAGTTGAACATATTACTAGCCTTGAAAATATAATAAAAGATTTAATTTCTAAACTATCAGATCAAGAAACTCAAATCAAAAAAATTAAAGATGAAAATAATGAAAGGTTAGTTTCTTTTTTTTAATTTTTTTTTTTTTTTTTTTTTTGTCAATTATTATAAATCATTAAAATAATTTATTACTATATTTTGTTGCCAATAACAGTGACGAAAATAAAAGGGTTGGTTTTATTTGTATCGTTTATATCGTATTTATTTAATAAAAAAAAAAATTTATTAATTTAAAATTTATTTTTTAGACAAGGGTTGCATTATTTTACGACCCAAGAAATCTTCCATTTAATACTTTACCAAGAATTATATTTGATAGAGGTAAATTAATATTTAAAAAACTTTTTTTCATATATATATATTATCTTTCATACTAATGATTATGTTTTTATCTTTTGCTTTAAAAAATTTTAAATAGTATATGATGATGTGATTATTCTTTATTTAACTATCAAATCTCTTCTTTATACTTTTTATGTATTTCCATTGATAGTTTTATTTAGAGTTACAAGTAAAATGTTAGATAAGTCTAAAAATAAATTTATGGAAATTACTTCTGAATAAATTTTTTTTTTTTTTTAAAAAAAAAAATAAATTCAGCTTAATATGTAAGAATATTTTTTTTTCTGCTTACTATTGATAGAGAATAATAATGTTAATGTTTCTCTCTATTGATTTTTTAATAAATTGCAAAATATGAGTAAATGAATATTTTTTTTAAATTTTAATTTATTTAAGATAAAAAAAAATGGCTTTACAATAATCTTCATGAAATGACTTGGAGAAAAATAATTAAATCATTTAAAATATTAGCTGGCGCCACTGCTTATTGCTGGCTTTTGTTTAATAATCATAATCATAATTTCATTGGGATTTTTGTTTAAAAAACATTTAAGGAATACTTTAGCCTTGAGAGCTTGATAGTTTAAATGATTCTTAAATGGCTGGAATAAACACGTAAGTAACGATAAAAGTAGTTAATTTCATTTCATGTAAAATTAAAATAACCTTTATTAGAGATATCACAGCGGCATTTAAATCTCGATTCGAAATCCCTAAGGAACAGAAGATTTAAGTTACGTAGTAACGTATTGTAGGATGACAGGTTGATGAATATTTTGGGAGCGAGCTTATGATGCTGAATGTAAATCGGGTCGGGATATATTACTAGTGTCCAATAACAAATAATTTTTTTATGATATTTGGGATGATGCATCAGCTTATTTATAATCAAATAGGAAAAAATCATGGGTGGGAAGTTGAAGAAATTTAAAATTTGCATTTTCGAAAGGGATCGTTGGGTTACAAAAGTATTAAAAGAAACTCGTAAAATTGCAACAAATTTTATTTAACGATTCAAAAATTTTATGGATTCACCACTTATAATATAGAACATCAAGTTTAGTATTCGTTTCATGATTGATTATGAAGCGAACTCTGTGTTGAGATTAAATTTCATTGGAACGAGATTTAATGGCGAAGTTACTCAAATTAATATCGAACAACTTTTCACACATCCACCGGATTATTCAGACGTTGAAGTTATCCTTAGTAGAGATTATGATAATAGAGTGATTTGTTGTTTAAATTTATTATGATATTAATAAAGATCAATTATGGACGTCTTGGCTATTCTCAACCATCATCCTTTGCCCTTTTAAAAATTGTTAAAAAAATATTTAATCTATTTATTTTTACAGAAAAATCATTTTGAATTGCGCAATATCAATGTCCGCTGGCAAATAATTCATTATTCAGACGAATTTTGTTATTTTTAAATGAAAGCGAAAAAATTGACGAGTACAGATTTTTGAAACAAAACTGGATACGTAAATGGTGATTAATAATGAACAATGAATTATGATATTTACAATTCATACAATAAACAATAAAATACTTTTGGGATAAAGATGATTGGAAAGAATCGAGACAATTTTTTATAACATTGAAGACGAACGAGAACTTTTTTGTGTAACAGCTAAAGGATTTGTCAGATAAAGAAATCCTTCCTCCATTGAATTTTGAAAGGATTTTTGAAAAATATGAAATAAGCTACATTTCAAATAAATTTTCGAAATTAAAAATCTGAATCTTTGTAATTTTTTTTTTTTAAGTTATTTACTTATTAAAACATATTGGGAGGTTTGCTAGTAAAATGGGGCTCTGGGAATTTTTTAACAAAAATTTTGTTTTTTATTGCATTTTAGTTTTTGATGTTATTAGATTAAAATGTAATAAGGCCTTAATTTTAGTCAAAAAAATTCCCAGAGCCCCATTTTCCTAGCAAACTTCCCATAGGAGAAGATTTCCATTTAAGGAGGTCCTTTATAACCATTTAAGTGGCATTGTAACTGTTGCAGAAGTAGAAGGAAATTTTCAATTGTCGATTGAATAGGAAAGATACTGATATATGGGATTGTTAAGTGTAATTTCTTCATTTTTATCTCAATTACAGGAAGACACTTTTTTAATTTTGAACAATAATTGTCAAAATTCTTGATTCTGACATTTCTTTATTTCATAGGTTTACCAAAGATTAACATACTTTCATAAAACAATTTTTTTTCCCATATATATTAAATTTCACACTTTTTATGGCAAATTTTATATTGTTTAAGAAAAAGAGAAATTAAAATCAAAAAGTTCAAAACTAGATAAATCTTCAATAGTTTTGGTTAGTGTTTCGATCCTAAATCCGGATATTAATCCAGATTAAAAATAAGGATAAAGGATTTTAAATAACATATCCCTCATAATAAGGAAATGCTTTTATTTATTTTTTATATTTTTTTGATTATAATAATTTAATGAAAGCCTTTATAAAATTCTTCTATTTAAATTTATTATTCAAATACAGTACAAGAGTATAAAAACTATTATTAATATATCAGATATAATTTCTAGTTTGTTGTCTTTTAAATTATTCAATCAGGTGTAATAACTTCTATAATCTTCATGTTACGCTTTAAGAAAAACATTTCAATCACTAATGTAGGATTAAGATGATTTCTAAGAGGAGAAATAAGATATCTGGTATTTGAAAATAGGCGTTCACTTACTACAGAAGTAGCAGATATAGCCAAAGACTTCTGAGTAAGTTGAGAAAGAATTGAAAATTTTTGTGCATTTCTTTTTTACTATTCTAATGGATTTTTCATTTCTAAAGACATTGGTATTGTTAAATATTTTAATATTTCATTTTTTTTAGAAAGACCATTTAATACTTCTCTTTTATCAAAACAATTTTTGAAAATTGCTTATATAAACATGTGCTTTTATTTAAATTAGAAGAAGAATCTCTATTTGATGTAGATGCATCTTTCATTGATTCATAATCATTATATAATGCAGGTTTTTTATCTCTAATTTCTAAACAATTTAAATTTTTGTAACATAAATTTAATAATAAGGTTAAATAACTAGCATCATTTGAAGTATCCTAATAATAAATTAATAAATAGTATATATCTTTACCTTAATCTTATTTAAAATTCCTGATATATCTAAAGGATTTTTGATTAAAACCTTTCTTTTTGAATAATTGCTAATTACTATTTCATTATTAACTTCAATTATTAATGATTCAATAATTTCTTCACTGTATTACTTTCTGAAGAATCAATAGATAAATATATTGAAAAATCAGCTAGATCAAAGATCAATACTTTAATAATATCTATTATTTTACTTAAAGTAATATATATTTTACTTGAAAATTCATGAGAATGGCATTAATAAATTAATTAATTGATCTATTAGTTACTATTTTTATCTGAAAGTAAAATATTTTATCATCTTTTTTATTTTTATTATTAATTGATATACAGAGGGTGGACAAAAGTATTCGCACACCCTTTATAACGTGAATTAATGCTAGTAAAGTCATATGACCGCAATAACAAATTGTCTTTACATGACACTTAAGTATTTATTTATATTATAAAAATAAAAAGAATAACAATTTATTTTTTTTTTAATAAATTTTTCTTCTCCGAAAAACTAAA